CGGTGCCGTGGCCGTTCAAGCTCTTCGCTGAGCTGAGCTGAAGCGTGGTCGTTCGCCGACCCAAAAGAGAGAGTCTGTCGAAGGTGTTTGGAAGGTGGGAGAAGGGGGGAGAAGGGGCGAAGCATAAACAGCGGGCGGGAAAGGAACTTCGCGGGGCGAACCCTTGGGTGGACAGGTTTTTCTATTCTTTGTTTCCTGAAGTGGGTGCACATGTCCAGATGAATGTGGCCAGCAAGAAAAGCATTGGATTCTCAAGATGAAACACAACCGTTCATGTCTCCGGTGGTAAACCATACCAGTCTCCTCCGATTGGGGCTGAGCTTGAGCTTCCAACAGCATGTTTGGATCAGAGCTTGATCTGTAAGAGGCCTGGCTGGTTGCTCGTCCAGAGCGCTGGCTGCCTGGCTGAATTCCGGTTTGTAAGCCAAAGTCAGCTTGCTTCAAGACAGGACGTTCCAGGCATTTCCTTCGCCATGTTGCTGCTCAACTTGCTAACCATGGCCATGGCAGTAGCGGACACGTGCCAGGTTGAACAAGTGAAGGGTCGAAATTCATGTGACACGAAGAAAGTCACCTTAGAGCACTATGCCATTCTCATGTTGTACTACTTGACCCCGCTGCGCATCGAAAGGGATGAGTTTACGCTGAAGGTCGCGCTGCCTCCTCATGCGGAGCTGAACAAGGGTTTTGCAAAAGACATTTATGTGAGGATGCCGGAGCTGATCAATATGACTTGCAGGTTCGAGACTACTGGTACGGATGACTTTCCCAACGCTTGTAGTGGCAAATTGACAGGTGAGGTGATGATGCTTCGTCCTGGGCTGCCAACAATTCCAGGAGATAAAGTCCAGGACGTGCCTGCTGATTTGGTGAAGAAGAGAGAATCTTTTACTTACGGTATGGCTTTGTACATCTACAGCAGCTACAATCATAAAGATCGTAAGGTTCATGAACTCATCGAGCTGAAGTTTGCACTGGGCCCAGACGGTATTTGCTCTGTTGAATGCCAGCTCACGTCAGGGCAGTGCTTTGGCATGAGCGCGGCTTTGTCACGTCCGCCACGTGCGCCTGTGCATTGTCCAGCACCACCGGCTGTGAATGGCACCTCGCCACGTTTTTGTCAAATTAAAGCCAAGCCTGTTCCACCCAGGCTGGGGGTAGGATCTGCGGTGGTGATCGTTCTCCTGGTGTTGGGAGTCTTGGGTTTGGGCTGCACATTTGTGTTTCATTGGCGTCGACAGAGGGTGGTGGAAGAACAGGCACTTCGAAGGGCACAGGAAGTTGAGCTCAGCTAAGACTTTCAGTGCTTCAAGTTGCACTTGGCAAGGAAAGGAGCTTGTTCGCTAGTGATCGCTAGTGCTATTGTACCATTGGCAAGCCACCGAGAAGACAAGTGTCACAATGTGCTGCAAAAACAGTCTGATATTCCAGTGATGGTGTCATAACCACCAATGAGAACACAAAAATAGTTTTACATTATTGTGTGTTTTGCTACTTACTACTTCTGAGTTATTTTTTGGAGAATCCTAGGGGTGTATTTCTGGGGACATCAATCCAAGTCGTTGGGTTTGCATCCGTCCACCGGCCGTCACTTTGCTCCTTGGCAGTCTTGGCTCGAAATCGCCCACCAGCCCTGGGTGGTGCAGTGATTCTGGCGATGCCAACCCCACTCAAAAAGGCGGTCAGACTCGAGCTGTCCCGAAGTGCCTTCTTGGAATTCCCTGAATGTAGACTCTTGATCAATAAAGCCTTTCCATTTGGGATTGTAAAACCTCTTCGTCACCTCCCTTGCGGTCCGTTTGGTCTCTCCCTTTTGGGATTGTACATAGAAAGAATGAACCAAGACCAAACTACGAACACACAAGCGCAACTATTGTAAAACCTCTTCGTATGGTGCTTTTATTCGCCAAGGGTCGCCAGCACATGTGCTGGAAGCGATCAACATCGATCAACTATGAACTTCAATGTGGCCCCACGTGGCGAAAAAAAAGAATAGAACACATGTTTCCGGTCAGCAGAAAACAAAGAAAAGGCCATCATGGATCTGTCGTCCTACGCGTTTTTTATTTCTATTTTTTTTTCGGCGTGTCACGCGTTCACCATTCTCCGTAGAACCAAACCATCAAATTGTTCCATGGATTTGACAATTGAATCCAGTTTGATTCATGAATAAATTGTTCCATCAACTGTGTTACGAATCCAGTTGATTGTTCGAATCGAACGGCGCGCGGACTTCGAATCGGACTCGGTGCGATTCCCGCCGGGCACACGGCAGACGGACGGGTGTCTCTAGGCAGATGTGGCCCCAATGGGGGACGAGGGGGTCGTCAGAGAGGCGGGAAAGGGAACTTTGGAAGACTCTTGGATGGTAGACGGTAGATGTTTCATTTTACATGTTTTCTTGAATGTTTGTACATGATGTTTTTTTGATGTGATCATTTTTGATGCTGTAGATGATGTTGTATGTTGGAAGTCTGTTTACCCTCCCTCCAACAAACGTCTGAAGTGGAACATGACCACTTCCATGTCGCTTGGAAGTCTGTTTAGATCGCTTAGATGCTCCGCTCTCGAATTCCCAAGCGGAGGTCACCGACGAGAACGTTGCTGGGCAGGCCAGGAGGTTTCCCTGGTGGGTCCGCAAGTCCAGCCGACTGTTTCCATGTGCCGACATCCAGTACTGTGTTGGTCCTGGTGGCCGGATGTTGGTCCTGGTGGCCCGGAGATTCCCCCAAAACCGCTCAGTGGAAGGGGTTTGGCGGAAAAGGCTCTGCTGATGGAAGCGGCCTGAAGAAGATGGACAGACTGCTGCTGATGGACAGACTGCTGCTGATGGTGCTGCACGCTTTTGGTCCACGCTTTTGGCATGTGTGTGTAGATCTTCGGGATCTTTTGGTGCTTGATCTCAAGTCGTGCATAGGGGACGGAGGTCAGCTCTCGGTGCAATCCAATCCGCATTTCTAGCATCGCAAGACTCCTCTAAACACATCGGGATTGCATATCATCAACATCGCAGCAATATGAACAAGACCAAGCACTAGTACTACGTCGCTATTGATGGTTGTTGGTTCCGAGTCACACTTGTAAGATTTCTAGAAGATCATCCAACAATAACAGGAAACATCATTGTTTTTTGACAGGATTCTTCGCACCAGCACGCTTACAGTCTTTGTTTCTTCCGGAGCCATCCCCAAGCGCCGCATGTTCGTCCGTTCTTCTCTGATGGGTTCCACGACGTCCGCAGGTCCGGCAGTTTGCCGCTCCCAGTGACTTGGGCGCCAGCCCCGCGGAGGAGCTGCGTTCCGCGGCACAGGAGCGCCCCGGCGAGACGACCGGTGGTGACCAAGACCGGTAGCGAGACGAGCGGGGGCAGTCATCGAAGTCCTGTTAGGGGGAGAAGGAAAGTGGGTGTCAGCATTCCTTGGTTCGGATTCACGCAATTTCTTCTCCCTGGGTTCGGTTGAACGAAGAACGGTTTGAGTTGATTGTGGGTGACATTGGATGAGTAGAGGTCTATTTCACCCTAGTTGCTGGTTCCTTGGTGCGGTTCCTTTGGACTCAAACTGGTTGCAGATGACAGAGGAAGAACAAACAAACTTCCCAAAATAGCAATGTCTTTTTGACGTGTTGGCCTTTTCGAGCACAGACGGTGATGGATCTTGGAGGGAAAAAAGGAACACGGAGGACCATCCTTCAGAAGTGGGCGATCCTCCGGAAAAACGGCCAGCGCCAGCGCCACCGCTCGTGCTCGCTCTTTGCGCCTCCCTCTTCTTCGCGCTTCTCCTTGCGACAGAATTGGTCGGAACAGTCAACAGCGTTGATGGAGCGGCATGGTTCTGAGTTCTGACCCAAAAGGCTGCTCCCTAGAGGCTTCTGACCCAAAACAGACTGCGTTCGCTGAAAAGGGCGGCCTCTTGATGCTGGGAGACCTTCCTTCCGTGAAGCGGGGGGGGGAATGGATCCAACGAGCGGTCTTCGCCACTGAAGAGGGTGTTTTCGGGAGCCCCTCGGTTTCAATACATCCAAGGGCACACCCAGGCACTCGCACAGCGCACGGAGCCCTCCAGGATCTGGTCGTGCATGCGGAACTTGACATTGTGGAGTACAACGCAGAAGATCAGGTAGGGGGTCCTATGGGCGAGTGTGTTTGTTGGTGTTGAACACAGCTTCGACGCTGAAAGTCTCGCGCTTGATAGACAAGTATGTGTCAAGAGGGGTTCATTGTTTGGTTTGCATATCAAAAAGCGTATTTTGCTTGAGAGGATGTTGGAGGGTTTACCGTATCGTCACACGCAGATGACCCCCTTGCTGGGACGACCCAGGTCAATCGAAGAACCATTTCATTTCGTTTCTCGAACCCTTCGAACTTGCGGGGGGATTTTGCTCCACCAAGAAGACTGGCCGGCCAGTTCGAGTGTCTCAAAGCTACAAACAGCTGCTTGTTTGTTTGTTTGTTTGTTTGTTTGTTTGTTTGTCTTCCTAAGATTCCCCGAAGCCATTCTGATGCACCTCGTGTGGTGAGTACGGTGAGTCGAAGGGGAGGGCGGGGAAAAAATCCACCACCCAACTGGTCGAACGTCGCAACGAGATTCTTATCCTGTGGGCTGTGTAATTCGGTCTGTGACAAGGGCAAGGACGATTACAACATGGGTTGATTGGGATCCCATCCGAGCGTTCGCTGCATCGCTGACTGAGACGCAGGAACTGCATGCCAGCTTGAAGAAAGAAATCTTGGAGCACAATCGAGAGATTGAGGACTGCTTCTTGAGTTCAACATAGTTCAACAAGTTCTTCTCCGCGAGAAGCACCTGGACATTTGCACCTTTTTGATCTGAAATCAGGGTCCTTGTTAAAACTTGAGACAGCAAAAATGCCCCATTAGGGCTGTGGTGTTGTCCTGTGGTCATTAGGACTTGGAATCCAAGCTCTCTAAAGTCAAGAGGACAGATTTGACCTCGGAGGTGTAGCTCACACAAAACTGGCCCATGGACCCTCAGTAATCGACCCATGGACCCTCATGGACCCTGCATCCGTTCAGAGATTTTCATCCGTTTCAGATTGCAGTGTCTTAGAGAGCTGTCATGCCTCTCAATTCGTGGGGATGGAAGGGGAAAAAACATCCTCCATCAACTTCTGGGCTTGAAATTCGTTCGACGACGTTTTCGTACGACTTGTCACGGCCCAAGTCGGTTGTCGTTCTCAGGAGCTGATCAAGCAAGTTGCTGAATGGCAGAGCAAGCAGGGCTTGCCGCAGGGCTTGCCGCAGGACTTGCCGGAAGAGGATGTTGGAGCTGCTGCTTAATGGCACAAGAACTGCGTAGTTGTCGAAACATATCGACTCCAGAACCTAAGAAGTCATGAAAGCTTCCTATTTGTTCAGAGTTGGAGTGTTCTCATTTTTTCCTCCCTCCCTCCCCTCCCTCCCCTCCCTCCCCTCCCTCCCTGCCTTCCTCCCTCCCTCCCTCCCTCCCTCTCTCTCTCTCTCTCTCTCTCTCTCTTTCTTTCTCTCTCCCGGAAGGAATCTCTTCATCACGAAGCACGCAAGTGGCAGAAATATATAGATGATGTCTCTTTTTGATGAGGGTCATTTTACCTTCACTGACATGGCAGAATGTAAAAGGGGCCTGACCCACTGCTCAAATCCCTGAGGCAGGAAAGTCACGCCTGTCGCATCTGGAGAAGGAAGACAAGATTCATGTGCCTTGGGGTTGACATTCAAGAACCGTCTCCGCGAAGCCTGTAGAGCAGAGTCATTATCATTTTCAGATAGTGTCAGATGCCTTTTTGGCACCCCCCAACTGCTATCATCTTTCAAGACCGTATAAACAAGCTCTAGTCTACGACTGAGGGCTATATGTTAGTCTTCAAGTGAGTTGCCTCTCAGCATCTGAAACCTGAAAGTTATGTTGGAGACTGGCTTTTTGGATGGGGGACTGCAGGTGCAGTAGTGTTCCAATCGAGGAATCATCTCCGTCAGAACTCATTTTTGGTGAATATGTAAACAGAAGGACATTTTCATGGTCAGACCTGGTCACAGCTTCATCGCCAGTGAATTCTATCGTGTTGCTGGTCTTTTCACAAGGAAACTTGAGAGCCTAGACTCTTTGGTGGTTCTTCCATGTGTTTTCTCGTGTACTTTCTCACTTGTTTAAAATTTCGTTCTCACAAACTGTCATACCGCATACCTTCGCCGACCGGGAGCTGGAACCCGAACAACCCGACAGTTCGGAAGGACGCGTGCGATGGATTCTTCGGACCGTTTTTCTCCTTTGGCCCCCAAAATGGCACAATTGGCGCCCAGACCGCATTCTACTCCTTCGAGCAGTCCATGTGGGATGCGGCGCTTCTGCTCTGCTGCGCGGCCAAACACGTGCACGCTGTCGTGTTGTTCGTCACGGGCGTGCCCGCGTGCGGTGCTTGCGGCGTGCGTGCGGGGGGGGTTCCAGTCACAGGGGGGCACAGGTCCAAGAGTTGGGGTCCAAGAGTTGTCTAGGATTCTAGTTGATTAGTTTGCCCCCCGAACAACGGGTTCATTCAGGCAGTTTTCTTGCAGAATGGCATGAGCAGATTTTTCGTGTACTGTATAAACTCACTTGCAGTAACTTCTTGTACTTGATGAGCCCCATCTTCAGGCTTACCAGCTTGCCAAGTGAAGTCAATATGAGGTTGATAGCGCGCAATCTGACGCACTCAAAGCTGCAAGCAAGTTTTGCATCTAAAGTTGAGCTTTCTTGCTGTTGGAGGAAACATGACAGACACAACAAACCGTCGGCAAAAAATCTCAAAAGCTAGTTGTTGCCGCGGTTTTCAGCCCTAGGACATCATAGCTCCGGTGATGTCTTTTTTCCGCTGAGTGAGGAATCCGCGCAGGGTTCCTAACATGTCCAGTGTCCATGTCCGAAGAAGACCCTCCAGGCTCCAGGTCTCTAAAAAGCAAAGAAGGGGCTTGGGCGCTGCTTGAACAATGGGCATTGCATGGCTGTGTTGGAAAACCAAACTCAAAACAACTACCATACCACACCCGATCACGATGACGTGAAGGTTTTCGACTGGGGGCTCCAAAAGGCATGACATGCAAGGTGTTACTGTCCGTGGATAATACACCATTTCTGAGGGAAAAGGATATTTGCCGACAAATGTCTTGGTCCCTTCTTCTTTGTATTGTCAGACAATGTCTACAAAGAAGAAGGAGCCAAGATCCTGCCGAGAAGCGCCAGCAAGTGGTGGACAAAAGATCATGTGTTAGGTTTCTTTGTAAACGTTTGTCAATCAGACGGCCCAGTGGCTTCGTGCCCCGCGAAAGCCCCATGGCCGAGCCATCCGGCGGTCACACGCCGCAGCCGAGGTTTTCATCGGACCAGCTTCTTGGACAAGATCATCCTCTTCACTGGCTGCATGTCCAACCTAGCACTTCAGGTGCCGGAAACGGTCGTGGAACTGGGTCGTGACTGCGGGGTGACTGGGAAGGTGGTGAAGAAATCGGGTTCTTCAGCTAGAAACATGCTTGAGACGCTTGCGAAGGGAATTGGCCCCAATCGACAAGCTCGCAATGACTGCGCTTCAGCAGAGGTGGCCTGCGTCTTCTTCGTCCAAGAGAACATGCTTGATAATCCTTTTCCGCAACAGAAAGCGCTTTGGCTGCATCCACTGCCCGCGCCCACCCGACCCTGCGCACAGCAGTTGTTTAACCAGCTGCTCGCCCTCTTTTTGAGCAAGGGAGCAAGGCAGCCGGTATCTGTATGACACTCCACGGCAATCAGGTAGATGTAGTAGATGACCACGAACAGAGAATTTGCTATGACACCTTATGACACCTCAACGGGACAAGTCCTCGAGTGCGCTCCAAGCAGGGAGCCAGGTGCCCGGGCTGCTTCGTCCGATCGGTCTCTCCAGGTTGAAGAGATGCTGGCCTGGCGAGTGAACCAAGGCCGCTTGGCGCGATCTCCTCCCCGATGGGGGCACTGCGAGGGGGACCCGGCGTGCGAGGGGACCCGGGCTATGGTTTTCCAGCCAGCTGAGACCTGCTCGGCTTCTGAGAGGAGTCGAGGAGTCCACGGTGGGTGGCTGGGCGGTTCGATGAACATCAGATTTCCTGTGTAGTAGACTTCCCATTTTGTTACTTGTTTTCTCTCTTTGTGTTTTTGTTTGTTTGTTTAATTTCTATTTATTGAACATCATTGGTGGTTCAATTGCTGGTGTATATAATTCGATCCAAAAGGGTGATACTTGTAGGTATTCTTTTTTGCACGCCTTTTCTGATGTGCTAGAAGGTGCGATCCTATCCAAAGAATTTCCTGAGATCTTGTGATCCCTGGAGTTGACATCGGTTGCGGAGGCGATCATTCAATTCGATCCGTCCCTCCACAACCCTGGTCCGCGTTTTGCAGCGGGTGCACATGACCCGATTTGCCAGGCGCTCCATCGTGTGGGACGGGTGGCCATGCCAGCAAGCGGCCTCCAGGGGTCCCGCATAGCAAGGTTCCTGCAGCCATCTGTCGAAATGCTCCTGAGCTCTGCGGGCAAGAACATAGCTCTTGCATTGAGAGCACCTCACATAGGCACGGTCCAAAAGGATGTGATGCTTGCCTGGGACCGGACTGGTCTGTCCATCGATGATCTCCTCTATGCTTTTGATCCGGGTTTCGCGCTTGACAGGTTGCACCACTTGTGCTGCACAACCCATGGTTAGGGCATCACGCAACTCCTGAATGAGGCTCTTGGTGTGAAGGCGTTGTTTGCACAACTTGCAAGCGGCCCCTGACCTGAAATGCTCCCATTGGTGCCCATTCTGAAGAGGATGAGCTAAGAGCTGCTGCAAAAGGGCACCTTGTTGGTTGTGCTGTCCCCACCTTTGTGGAAGTAGTGGGTTTTGTCCTTGAGGACCCAATCAATGCGCTCAGCAGCGGCCAGGAGAATGGCATCTTTGTCGATGTTGGCCTGAAGGTCCAAGATTTCAGTAGGCTTCTCAGCCTCTGCGGCCTGGCGAGCTCGCTGCTGTGTGTCCTTCTGCAGAAAGTTCCGCAGTGCATTGTCCTTCAACTCTTTGAGGGAGAAAAGCAAAGGCCGGACCATCTCAAAGTCCTCACACTCCAAGCCAGTGAAGAAATCTAGGTAGTTCTCATAGGCCAAATGAGGAGTCCAGTTCTTCCACACTTGATGGTCATAAATGGCCACCTGTATCATGGAGAGGGCTCGGTGCTGGCTGACCTGTCCAGGACAAACTCCAGTGAGAGTGGCCACTCTCTCCCGTCTATGGATGTGTGCGCACAGATGGCAAAGCAGTAGCGCTTGTGCCTCTTGTCCTGGCAGGTGGGCGCCAGAGCGATGGAGTAAGCGTGACCAGGTCCGAAAGCTCTGGTCTCTTGGCTCTGCCAAGCTCCTTCACCCATAAAGGAACCCATGCCGGTCTCAACCTTGTAGAAAATGGTACCGGGTCTTTCATGTCAGCGTCCTCGGAAAGCTGCACAGGATCAGGTTGTTTACTGACCAGGGACATGTATGCCGTACTCGTGCTATTGAGTTCAGCCTGCTCTTGCTCGATCTTGCTCTGGATGTTCTTCATCTCATCGAGGAGGTCCTGGAAGGCTTTCTTCGTGGCATCGATCTTGCTTTGCAAGGTTTGCTTCGTTTGTGACAAGTCTCGAAGTGTTGAAACTTGTTGCTTCAACTTGTTGGCCGCATCCTTCTCAAGGGGCGGCTGTGGCTTGGTGATCCTTTCGACTAACTCCTTGACTGGAGCTGGCAATTGTGCTAGATTGTCTCTCAGCGCGTCCTTCAAATCCAGTTCCGGACTCGGTGGGGGAGGCGTGATGCCAATCTCCGTCAGCTTCTGCTGCAAGGTGGAGTCCAGCTTGTCCCAGGAGGAAAGCAAAAGATCACCAGTGAGTTTCTGGAAAGCAAAGGGATCTGGTTTGCTCCACGTAGTGCCACATTGCTGGCAGACACAACCTTCTCGTACTCGGTCTTCCCATATCCAATTCCGGCAGGTAGGACTGGAGCATATCTGATATCCTCTATGGCGAATTCAATCCATCCCACCAGACCAGTGAACTGCCAAGTCACCCGCCTCTGTGTCAAGAGCGTGGTCGGTGTTGGCGCAAAGTGCCAAAAGCAAGGCCGACTTGAGCCACCTGGGACCTTTGAGCCAGAGCTTGAGCCTACTTGTAGGTATATGATTATTGTTATATTATATATATATATATGTATGTAAAATAGTTTTAAGCAGACCTGTGATAGGAGGGCCATCGCTTTTGTGCCCACTTTATTTCTGCTTTCACCTATCTTCATATAAGTTCACAAATTGTCAAGTCTGTAAATTTGTGGGGAGGAGCTAGAGAGACCAGCCGAATCAATGGGACGCCTGTGATAAACCTGGATTGGCCGACAGAATCTTACACAGTCTTCCGATGCATCAAACTCTGGCATGCCACCCCATGTGTGCAATTTTGCAGCCCGCTATTCTCGGGATCTCACCCTGGTTGACCCTGGTCCACCATGCACAAACGGCATGTGATGTTAACTTACCTGGCTTTGGTCAAATTCGCTTCAACCAACGTGCCTGAATCTCGCACCGTGGTTTTGGGTGTTGGGGCATTGGGTGTTGGGCGCCCCACCTGCCTTTGGGACCCGGCCTTTCCGGGCCTACGTGGCGAGGCCACCGCACGGGCTTTGATGCGAACACGGGGCAAAGTCTGGTGAGCCGGATTTGTTCCCGGAAGACCTGGAGGTATGAGCAGTCCCAGTACGACGAGATGTTTGGAGCCTGGGATTGGTCGTTGTGCCGAAAGGTAAACAAACATCCTCCCAGAAAATTTTTGCAATAGCAGTAGCAACAGCAGCAGCAGTAGTAGATGCAACATGAGAAGTTTTGTTCGAAGAACGGTTATCATATACTTTCACATATTTTTTGCACGTCCTCAACTATTGGTCTAGCCAGTAGCCTACTTGCAGTTTAATAGTTTTATCCATATATAAGCTGGCCATATCTTCTAGCATCCTCAGGGTTTTCAGGGAGGTGTGTGTGTGTGTGGCCTGTTGCTCCAACGGATCAAGGGTGGGTTGGAAGAATCTTTGGACGAGGCCGGTCGCGGACTAAGTGATCGAACAAAGTGGCCGGACAACTGGCCATGGAATAGATAACATGCCCATATTCCTTGGATCTTCCCACGGCCTTTACTTGAGGACTTTTGAGATGTTTTGGCCAAACGGCCTGAAGGAGCCAACATGGGCACTTCCCGTAGAAGTGAGCAGGATCAAATGACCTCCTGGGTTTGATATCAACTGGTTTGGGTGATATTATCAACTTAATGCCCTGCCAGTCTTTTTCTTTCACAACCTTCAAACTGTTTCTGCATTCAAGCCACCTCAAAACCGTATTCCCACCCCAAACCTCACATTCTTTTCGCTTGATTTCCCGCAGCAGCCTCCACAATCGCATGGATGGTGTTTCCCCTAGCTTCTGTGTGTTCAGCATAAAAACGTCCATATTCCAGCATCTGTGCCCAGAATATTTGTATCAACCAATGCCTGGCATCGTCTTGAGCTTGATTGCCATTGTGCTGTGGGTGACCACCATCGCCCTGGAGTACCGGAAGTGCCTGGAACAAGGGCTTGCGGTGTGGCATCTACCTGCCTTGCCGCTCGTCTTTCAAGCGACGCAGATGGCTTTTCTCGTTCGGAGGCCTCGGAGGCCTTGGAGGAGGAGGTTTCTTTTGCGTTCGTCGTCTTTCTGCACGAGGGTTTAGGCATGGTCACGTGGAACATGCGGAAGAGAACATCAATGGCATCGGCATCATACCTGGGACTGGAGGTGATGAATCTTTGGAGGGAATGAATACCTTAGAAGGGCCAAGAGATTTGTTTCCAAAAGCTCCGTTCTCGATCACACATTTTTGAGTATGGCAGGATGTAGACAGACAAAACATGACAAAAGCATCTCATTGAGATGATAAACCCTCTTCATAAGGCGTTTTTTAAGTATGACATCGACAGTCTGCATCACTTGCTGGCGCCTTCGGCTCACTGGTGGAACCCTTGGTGCCTCAACCTTCACCCTGCCGACCTGCCGCGTTCTCGACCTTCACCCCTGCCGCGTCCCCGGTGCGAGGAGGATGTCCGACAAGTTTGAAGACATCAGCGAAGACGGGGCTTTAGAGGTGAAAGGCACCAGGGCGAAAGACATCGGCGCGCGACGGGACTACATGCAAGACGTGCAAGACGTGCAAGACGTGAGGCAGAAGGAACATGGGTGGTAGAGTGTCTCGAGTCTCCAGCTTCTTGGGTTGGAGTTTCTAGTAGGTATGATTTTCTGGTTGAAGAGGATGACTCTGGGCGGAACTGCCCAGATCAAGGTGATCCCTCAAGGTGTGTTTCATGGTTTGGCTGGCCTCATGCTGGCTGGGGAGCGATGATTTGACTCAGGTATCCATCCTTTCATGCGATATGTGAGCATCATTGTGCTTTGCATCCCGCGCACAGTCATCATGGTCTGGCTGGGCTGGGCCACTCGTTTGCAGCTGGGCATGGCAGGAGATGGGCAGAAATGGGCTGAATGTCTTAGATGGGGTTGAATGGAGACCACATTGTCCCGCCTTTTTGGATACAACACAGCAGCTCGAAGATCTCGAAGCACCAGGTGCAACGAAGAGCACCTTCTGTGCAACGAAGAAGTAACATAAGACTGCAGGTGGACCTGCAAAGCCTCGAAACATCTTTGATCAAAGCAGAACATCCCCCGAGAGTCGACCAAATACGCTGAAAAGAACGACATCTTCATTCAACATGGTCATGGTCTTCAGCATGTCAACTGTCTTCCCTGGAGACAGTGAGTGGTTCTGAACCCTCCGCTTCCACGTGCCCGGCGGATCCCGACGGTCAGTGTCTCGACTTCGAAAAAAGGCCAGCTCTTGGCAGCGGCAGCTCGCCTCGCCGAATCGCCTCGTGTTACACGACTCCAGGGGTCCGCTCTTTTTTTAAAAAAATCATTTTAAATCTCTTTTTTTGTGTTTTTTTTTAAAAAAAAATATTTTAAAACAATCTCTCATAAAAATCTCTCTTTTTTTTGTGTTTTCTTATTTCATCTTATTTCTGCATCCGAAAGTAGGGCCAATCCCCCTTACTGCCTGGGTGTGATCTTCATCCTACGTGGTCAGCATCAGGTCAAGGTAGTCTTCTGTTGAGACACACAGCCCCGTTGACAGGAGGCACTTTTCCTGCCTTTGGTGGGTGCGTCTTTTCGGGCACCTCGTTGTCCAAACACATCTTTTCGGGAGGTGGGATGCATCTATCTTGCACAGACCGCCAGCCTGTCGGAGCCTGGGGAGCAGGGTGGATTCGGAATTGAGGTGAATTTGTCGAAGCAACGGGAGGAACGGGAGGAGGGCAACTGAAGCCTCCTGCTGAAAAAAGGGGTGGGTGACAAGAAGAAAAGATTCATTGTTTCATTTTCTCGAGGGTTTGAAGATTATTTCCACGGATCCCTGAAGGAGTGTATACTGATCCTTGAAGGATTCGATCTAACTTTGACCAAGATTTCGTCATGAGTCCTGGACACTGGCAAATCCAAAGGACGTGCCACGTGATGCCTTCAACCAAGAGGAACACCTGTCCACAAAGACCATTCAGCCAAGGGAAGCCTCATCTCATCAAACCATCAACCAACCTTTTGTGATCTCGGAGCAGATAGCAGAACCATCTCGGTTTGGTCTAGGCTCGTTCAACGTTCGCCTCTTCCTTCCTTCCCGGCAGGACATCGTGTTGAACGCGGTGGCACTGGCCTTCGTGCTGGATGTGGACGACCTGCTGGCCTACGTGCTGCTCACCGAGAAGCCACCGGGTCAGCACCGGGTCTGGTCCGGCGGCGGCTCCGGCGGCTCCGGCGGCTCCGGCATCGCCGCGGGGGTGAAAGCCACGGGGGTGATGAGCTGAGCGTGGGTGGAAGGGGTTGGAATGTTGGTTGTGTTGCTGTCTGAGATCCATCCCTTGCTCTCTTTGAAGTCTTAGATCAGATTGGAACTCCAAATGGAAGAATCTCACGCCTTTTGGGTGGGCTAGAGCTGGTCAGTCTGTTCCTGTCGAAGTGGCCTGGTTGCTGCGGACAGTGAAGTTTGCTGGATGGTTTTTCATGGTTTTTCTCTGATTTGCATGGCAGGCGCTGCATGTGTCAATCTAATCATTTGAAGAATCATGGGTCAGCACAGTTGGTGAACCAAATGAACCGGGGCACCAGTTGGGACGGGTCTTCACCATGAGACATCCATAACTTGAAGACATCACTCACTGCGGTGAGGTTGAGGAGTGTGATGCACAAGTTGAAACCGGTTGAATGTGGAAAGACCACCTATGTGCACCTGGGCCGGAGAGAAGTGGGCCCTGTGCGCTTTTCCACAGGTTGGTTGGCAGCTTGGGCTGGTGGGCGCCACCAATTGGAGCTCATATTTTCGCTGGGTGGCATCTGGCGATGTCAGAGAATCCCACAAGCTCGTTGGTCTGTAGAATTCCACGTTCTTCCGAAGTCCGACGATGCAACATCTAAGATGGATCCATTTGGCAGGTCCGCCAAACGTTGGGGATGTTCTGACCTTTGTGAGGCTGTCCTGGGTTGATGGCATCAGTAGTGGATTCAACGGCCTTTTGCATCGGGAAACTGAAGTATCGAAGAAAAGCAAGCGTGGGTGCTAGGTTTTGGAGGCACATGGTCCGGATGCTCTTCGAAAGATGCATAAGGAATCCCGCAACTGTTTTTCGATTGTAATTAGTAACTAGTCCACTCCACGTCAAAAAGTATGTTGCATATGTATAGTCATCTTCAATTGGGTTGACAGGGCAAACCGGTTTTCAAACCGAGGTCGGACAGTGGTCGTGTTCATTAGAAGATGGGAAAGACCAATCCAACGGGGACCTTCTCCATTTGGTCCTTCTACACTATGAGCATCGCTCCAGATCCAAAGTCTCGACTCGTGTGGAGCGTGTGGAGCGTTCGCGGAACGCGCACCGTTTTGGACCAGGTGGTCCTGGATGGATGACATCAGCCGCTTTATCTTCGTGGCATTGGGCATTTATGCCACCGTGCACTTTCAACTGTTACCATTCTATGGACACTTGAGCTGCACGGAGAAGAACTGAAGAACCGGAGAACAGGTCGACCATTGTGGTGGTGGCGGTGGTCAGGGAGACTCTGGGAGCAACGGGGGAAAAAGCAGAACAAACATACATGATTTGCTTCGTACAGTAGATGTTTTGTACCTTGGACCTTATCTTCCAAACTGTTTGCTTGATGGTGCCACGTTCTGTTTTTTGATGCCCAGAGATCCCTGAAACCGCTGCACCGCCTCAAACAACGGGATTCAAGGTTCGAGAAAGGTCACTTCTCTCTGGCGCTTTTGTGGGTGGGCCTGAGCCCCTTTTTGGGGGCTTTCTGCGAAAACACACGGTCTCACGTTTTCGCAAGATTTGCCATCAGTGCACTCCCACTCCAACATGTCCAGGTCTTTCGTGGCCCCCGAAGATCTTTCCCCCCCAAGCTTGGGTTGTCCCGATCTTGATCCAGTTCAGGATTTCGTTTTCACCACCCCCGTGGCCACGCGATCCTGAATATATCATCAATCCGGTCGAGTGGCGGCTTCCGGTGCCTTGTCCTGCGTGTTTGAGGAAACGTGCAGGCAGCTGCCTTCGCGCTGTGTGGAGGCGCTTTTTCCCGAAAGACTTGGGAGAGCAGGGCTCTTCCTACAAGCAGGTCTGTCTAGCTGAGGCTAGACCTGAAGGTTTTCCAAGAACCGGGGAGGATGGAAGGTCTTCAACATGGACAACAAAGCGACGTGTTCCTACTTTTCTGCCTGACTGAGCTCAGACACACAGGCTGAGGGTGGCCTGAAAAGGGAGAAGGACACCTAATCCATGTCTTTGTGAAGTCGAAAGCGGGAAAAGCAACAATTACTGATTGATAGCGGCCTTGGGCAGTAGAGGGTATCACTTTTCGGGGAAATCCTTTGATATATGACCCCAGCTCCTAGCCGGACATGCAATTGAGGTTTGATCACCATCACTTTTTCACTCCATCGTTTGGCTGGGAGAATGGACATGGCACCCACCAAAGCGAACACTTTGGTCACTCTCAAAACCCAAAATGCAATTCCCACATGAATTACAACCATCCTTCAGATTTGTCACATGCTCAGAGAGATGGGCCACGGAGTCTCATTGGAAAAAGGTGCTTTCAACTGTAGTGATAGTTGTGATAGTTATATTGGAGAGGTTTCGCATCGATCGAATCAAGGAAAGCCACCGATGTCTCGCTGAAATGGCGACCTTCAAACTCAGCCATTGACTCCATTGACCTACTTTTTCTGCTGGCAATGTCCGAGCCTTTGGGCTGCAACAACACATCGTCGTGTAGCTCAAATAGGGAGACCTACAGTGTTCCACGTGGCTGACCTTCATTTCCCAAGCTTCGGTTCCTGTCTCCCCAAAAGATCGGTTCCCGTCTACCCGGCGATCGGAGCAAGGAAGGGGGCGAGAAAAGGGGGTCTCCCGATAGACATACACACCCGCATCGGTCTGCCTGCGCTGCCTGCACTGCCTGGGACATCTGGCGCCGGCCAGGCCACCAGGACTTCGACTACACCGGAGGCATACCAGCAGATCCCAGCATTGTCTTGAGGCGGACTCAATGGATGGGTCCGATCGTGAAACACCCACTGGGTTGGTTTTGCTGACCAAGTTCCATTGAAGGACTTGAAATGATGTATATAAATGTGTATCACTATGCAATTCCACTGGATGTTCCAGTGGCCATATGTTCGATTTGGAACAGCTAAACACGCAGATTGGTGACCTTTTGGCCAATCCCTTGCCGTTCCAAGCCCAAACATGTTCCATCTGGATAGATTTGCTCCTGGAACCCCAGAATCATGAACATCCACGGGGTTGAATGAACGATTTGTTGCAAATCCGCCAGGTCCCCCCCAAATCGGGTTGAAAGCAGCCATGCAAACGCCTTCCGCCTTGTTTCGCCGCCTTCGCTCTGGAAGGATTCAGTCCAAGGAACCGTCCTACGTGTCGCCGAGTCGCCGAAGGATCGAGTCGCCAGGATTTCGTGGCTCCGAAGAAGGGTGCAAAAATGAGACCCTAAAGATCGTTGAACGAAATGGATTGTGCCTCAATGCGCAGAATGGGACAAGTCCGTCCCATTTCCATTGGTTGAGAATCTCCCCAGGCAAGCCAAGCTCAGAATCTAGGCATTCGGAAGCATGTCAATGTTGTCCGCAATCCGAACATGGACCTTTCTGGGTTTCTCATTTGGGTCAATCCCACTTGGTCGGACGTGTTCCATCCCACGTGAGTGTGCATTTCAATAGGGAGACCTCCAATGGGGTAGACTGGTCTATTGCCCCTCTTCCAGGATGGTCTATTTCCGCCTGATGTCGCTCTCCCTGGATGAATTGAATCCGCGAATCCCATGCCGGTCGTGGGGCGCTCACTGGGACGTCGCCAGGCCCTCGGCCTATGAGCTGCCGAGCTTCACTGCAGTTTGCAGAGAATCGGACCAGGAGGGGACAATCTGGAGTGAGTGGCCGCAGTTCCAGTCGACGGAATTGAGGCAGTTGGGTGATGTGTGAGTTTGGCAGAATGATCAGCACAAAAGAAGCTTCTTGATTTGGTGGTTGGTTCATTCTAGTTCGTTTCAACCAGCAACTTTTGTGACATCCAGGGGTAAATCCGACATTTTGCTACAGCTACAAAGGACCAGTTTTGCCATGGGATTCTCCCAACTGGGTCCGTGAGACAGTAGCGTTGAAGCGGTTTCTGAGATGGTCGCTTCGAGCTTGCTTCTCCATCGCTTCTCGATCGATGGTTGCTGGGGATGAAGGGGATGAAGGGGAAGAGTGACAGGTCAGGGTGTCTTCGCTCCTTGGGCGTCCAGAGTTTCCCGAACCTCCCGAATCTCTGCGCCACTTTGAGCCCGAAAAAACGCGCCAGGAGTACTACTACTCCCGCTACTTTGAGGGTGGCAACTTTTCTGGAAAACAGCTGGCGAATACCACGAAAGGCCCGGAGTGGTATCAAGCTACTTGGCTTACGACTTGAGAGAAGGGAGGAGGACTTGTCGAAGGAATGTCCATGCATGTCGATGCCTTTTGGGATGAGGTTTTCAGGACGACCTGGGTAACGATGTTTAATGTGTCCCGAAAACGATGTTTTCTGCTTCATGATGACTTGGGAAAACCGCCCTGGCAACTACCATTGGTACCAACAAGTCCTAAGTCATTGGTCCTCAGTATAACGATTTCTCCCATGATCTTGGGCTTCTAAATGGGATGCCTCATGCCGCATGCCGCATGCCCCCTCATGCCGCAAAGCGCAGAATTTCGCGTCGTGTTTGCGCGTCGTGCGAGCAAGACAGAAGACGCTTCAGGCTGCCAGACAGGTGCGTGGTGCTTTCGTTGAGGAAAGTGAGGGTTCAGTCATAGGTATCCATGGATCACCGAAAATCATGAGAATCATGACCTCTATCCATAGGTCTCCGTAGGTAGTGCCATAGGTCTCCATAGGTAGTTCCATAGGTATCCATGAGAAAAGGCTGGCTTTCTATGATCCACTGATCCTGCGCAAAGCAAACGTTGGTCAAAACCACCAGTTCCGGCTCTTGAAACGAAAGGTCTGCACCAAAACCTGGAACCACTCACCCATGATGGGGGGTGTTCTTTCTGGCAAAGATGGGGCGGTCCCAGTGACTTTGGTGCCTATAGACCAATCTCTTCCTTCCAACGTCTGGCTTTTCCTTTCTTTTCCCACCAAACGAATCTCTCCCCTGATTTGCCTCCACGTCCGACGTGGGATTCCTCAACGTCCTTTCGCTTTCACAGACGCTGCGCCTTTGGAAAGTCTCCGAGTTCACGTTGAGCACCTTGCAGGAGAGCGGTTGGGACCAGGGATGGTCTGGGGGGGTAAACTGGAACCTCAATGATTTCACCATTGAACCTCAGACCTGAAGCCCAAGAAGTTCGGCACCCCCAGTCTGAAGCGAGCCTGTGAAATCCAGCGAGCCTGTGAATCTGTGAGCCCTGTGAATCTGGTGATTCTGCTGGGGTCGGAAGATGATGGGTCTTGACTGAAGCTGGAGAAGCCACAATTGGATACAATTGGGGTTGGCGAAGATTTTCTACTTTCAGCAGAAAGAACCTTGTATGTGTCAGTATAGAGGTCTGTCTAAAGAGCCAAAACCTTTCTTTAAACGGTGGGGCCAGGCGGTTGACAACCAAATCCTTCGAAGGTTTGCAAGCATCTTGGAGCGCCCATTGGCCCCTCCCCCTTGCCGTGTCCGCCACTGGATTCGTTTGTCTGCTCTGCACCAGAACTGCGGTTCGGGGGAGATCTTGCTGCCGCAGCGAGGGGAAGATGAACCACGGAAGTGTGGTGACACTTGGAGCACAGTATGACGGTTAGGTGGCTGGCAGCTTGATAGCTACTTTGCTTGCTGTGGTGGAGTTGCTCCAAGTTGTTGGGTCGCTGTCCTTTTTAAGCAAGGGTGTCAGAGTAAGGAGGATCAGCTCGTAGCCAATCTTAGGTTGTTGGTATTCCATGGTATTCCCACCAAACAAATCCAAGAAAAAAGAGAAGAACAATGAAGAACAGTCGAAAGTTACCCTGTGAACCCTACAACTCTGCACAGCTCAAATGTCATGTCGCGCAGGCTCCAAATATATATATATACACACATACAATAAGTAAGTATATATATATTATTCTATACATATATATATATACACAATCTTCAGAATCTTTGTTTGCACGCTTGGCGAGTGTCCATCGCGTTGTGGATCGTCTTTCGTTTGCTCTTGAGTTCTTGAGCATTGATCTTTATTGATGTTTCCTGCTTTTGTTTAGTTTATTTACCTCCTATCGGTCCTATCGCTGTGAATTGGTTGTCCCCTAATCTTTTTCAGGGACACCAGACCTGAACATAGCTTCAAGTACGGTGATTTTACCCTTGCTGCAGCATCTGACTCAACCTCACTGGTTCGTGTTTGCGTCTCCGCAGCCAACTTGCGATGGTCGACGTATTTGTTCGACACGGCCACGGCCGAGGCGATGCCGGAGAGCCTCACGACCAATCTGCAAGAGCTGGTGAAGGACCTGACGAGCGAGGTGCAGATCGGAGGTGTACCACCGACGCAATGCCGACGCGACTGGGCACCCAAAAACACTGGTCCTTGCGCGAGGTCCGGTCGGTGTGGGGGGTTGGGCAGGGCGTCGAACGGCCGGGCCGTGGGACGGCAAGGCGCACCCAGGGTGCCGAAAAGGAGTTGGTTGTAGAGGTCAAGAGTTTAGTGCGAAACTTTTCCTTTCTCGCAGAGTGCTCTTTGTTTGGGGAATTCCGAAGGGTAGGAACATCATGGAACCACCTGGAGAAGGGTCTCGGACGAGAAGCACGATCCCCAGAGGGCCCCCGCAACGACCAGTGGAAACGGGATGTTCCGGATTCCTCCACCGTCGACCGCAACGTCAGTCCTTGTTTTGGAACATTGCGGAGTTGGAGGTAGGTGCCCCCTGCGTGATCGTGTTCTGACACGTGGTCGGGGGAAGGTTCTCGGTGGCGCCTAGCTCTTTCCCGAAACACGGACTTACCAAGAGTGAGATCACCAGGTGCTGCGCAGCCGGGCGCTTCGGTCATTTTTCGACCACCGGAGGTCACTTTTCGATTTCACGGGCATTTTTGGAGGATGGACGTAGCGCAGACAGACCGACCGACAGACCGACTGTCTGGCCGTGGAGTTCAGACACGACGAGCTATGATTCGATTCGACGCAGTGGGTCCGCAAGACAAAGCGACCCACTGGAATCCCATGTTCTGCAAAGTGCCACAAGTGGACGTCCCTGTCTCTCTACCCACAACCTCGCCTGGAGAAAAGTAACCTGGGTTTCAGATGAGTGATATAGAAGTGCATTTCAGCTGTAGAAGGACTTGGAAGGCAGCCTCGCTCCACCTTGAATCACTTGGAGAAAAAGCAGGCAGCCTTGCCCCGCCTTGAATCACTTGGATTTCAGCTTTCAAATTTCTTTGTGGGCAGCTCTATTTGGAGCCCTCAAGAAGCTCACGGGGTTACCGATCTGTTGAAGCGAGACCCGGCGCGACGTCCGGGTCGGTCTCCAGCAAGGTTTTGATGGCCTCAATGGTTGTGCGGCAATCAGCCAACCGGAAGTCTGCCTTTGGAGCTGGTTGGCTCAGTCACTTGGATTTTTTGGATTCACAACTCATCTGGACTGATTGAATTCCTTGGATTCCTTGGATTCGGAAGTGCCTCCTTGGGAGATCAAACATCCGGACACAGGGTTTGCACCACCAGAGAGATGAGGTGACCCATCCGTTCGAAGTAAGAAGACCAGTTGGCATTTCACGATATTGAAATGTATTTGCGATGTTTGTCACATCCCATACCCTAAAAGACACTGTATGGTATGCAAATATCATCGGTTTGGCTTGCGATGTTTTGTGTGACCCTGCCTTCAAAATCCTCTGTTATTTGTCAAGCTCATCCGAGCGCACCGCAACGTAATCTACAGTGCATTTCCAACAATTCATCAACTTTGATCCAATATCGACGAACAACACAAATTATTGGATAACTCACTAATATGGAAGTGAACAATGATGGAAAATGGCACTTTGGAAGCTTTACAGTTTTCAGGGGTTATCCACTTCCATTTTGGTGAGTCGGAGTATACCCACAACTTCGCCACACCAAACAACATATGTCAGGTCAAGTCGGGCCAAACCCGTTTTCGAGCCAAACACGTTTTCGAGCCCACCGCCTTTTGTGGTACGGGTCGGCTTTGGGCCGGTCGTGCGGACCAGGAAGTGCGATGGCAATCCACCGGGTCTCGTTTTGGAGCAGGCGTGCGGAGCCGACACAGATCCCTTGGAGCAATGTGCCTGGGCAAGAAGAAGAGGAAGAAGTAGAAGTAGAAGAAGTAGAAGTGCAAAAGGATGTAAAAAAGGGGTGTTTAAAATGGGTGTTTAAAAGGGTCTGTGGGGGTACATTTTGGCCGGTCTTTGGCAGAGTTTGTTTGTCAGTTGCCTCGTTTTGGATACAACCAGATAGACTCATAGACACACCCTCGTCAATATTTGTTGACAATTCGCTGGATGCTGGACATGTAATGATTGATTGTATTCATCATTAACATCATCACTCAAGGCCGAGACTTGGGACACTCGCATGGTCAGACAAGGGGATGTAGATTTACATGCGCATAACTTTGAATAAACTCAGCAATACACAATGCACAATATGCATCACACAAGGATTTGGTTTGTGATTGCGCTAAAGGTTCGGAGGCTGTAGACAAAACCTGTCACTGCCAGATTCATGCCATTCGTGGAGTGTTGTCCTGGCAGTTTACTCGCAACGCAGAGTCCTTCCATCCGTCTTGGCACCGCGCTGAGTGTCCTCAGGTGAAACCTGGGACCTCTTCCCAGGAGAGCATCCCAACTTGAACTGCAACGCCACGAAGGTTCCTTCGTGGAGGGCGACCACACAGGATGATTTCTTTTTTCCCAGTTTTTTGGGACCTCCTTTTGCAAACATGTCTACGAGGAGCGGAGCGTCCCAAATTCCTGTTGGGACACCCTATTCCATGTGGTTGCTTTTGGGTGTGGCGAAGATGACTGGATCCAGAGGAGGTCAATCACCAGTCCCAAACGAAGTAGCTGAAGTAGCTGGCTCCAGTTGCTTCGCACGATCTGGACCATGCTTCGCACCCAGGCGCCACGGAGTTGCCTGGTGTTTGCTTCATTTCAGCTGGCGCACGTTTTGACATGTCAAGAGCTCGATGTTCTCCGTGATTTCTGGACCCAGCGAAGTTGTGAGAATCCCAATTGAATTATATATATATATATATATTGACAATCTTCGCTTCTCACAAATTTGGTGGGTTTAAGGGCCCTGCAGTATGTTCTTCCTGCAAATGCAAGTTCGCCCAGCAAGCAGAGAGCCTTCATTCGAAAAGGATCAAACAAGCAAAAAGAGGAAGACGGTCCAGAAAGCTGTTCTTCCACTTAGATCAGTTGATTCCAACATGGAAGGAATTGGCCCAACCCCGAGTTCGGGGGTTTTGCGAACGGGCCTCCCACGCCCAAAAGAAGAGTTTGCCTCAAACATATGCATTTTTTTGGGGTGTTTGGCGGCTCCAAGAACAATAGAGGACCTCCGGGATGGCCTTTCAGAGCTCTTTCAACGGGTCACCGGTCCCGGGAACCGACACCTGTGGGACGCCTTTCTTTCTGCTGGATTTGCCGGGACTGACCTCCAAAACGTGCGAAGAATTGTTGCTATTTCGGTGATGAAAAAACATGTATCGCGGTGTCGAAAAACCTGACCGATGACCTACAAGCTTCCAAGCAGCGCTCCAGGTCTGTCCATTTCCCTACAACTGCTTGGTGATGCAAGGAACTCTCTCATTGCAACTTGGAGCACCCAGGTGATTGCACTTGCTAGCTATGTCGAAGGTCGAAGATACCAAGAGAGGTCAAGTGACAATATAGGACCCGTCACCTGGGGTACCGAACTGGGATAGCCGAATTAGGGTTCTGACCCACCTCTGTTGGTATTCTTCAGTTTCTCGAACCTCGGCCACTCGGGGCTGCGGGCTGCAGCACTGGTCGGTCGACCCACAACACCACGGACGGACCGAGGGAGAGGATGGCCCGGACGGAGAGGATGGGGTGTAAGTTACTCAGTCCACAGACATCTTCTTCGCATCTTCAAGGATGTTCGGCCAGATTGGGGCTATGGGGGATGTTTGTCGCGTTTCGCGATGCTGGAATTCCAAACAGAAGCCGTCCGAAGCCGTCGGAAGACTTGCTGCAGAAAAAGCTGGTGCGGTCCGGAATCCAGTGTAATCAGGTCTTTCAACGATATCTCAGTGGTGCAGTCCAACTCCACCTTGCAAGACTTGATTGTGAGGACTGCCGCGACTTGAGGTGGGTAGGGTTGGACCAAGGAAGGTCTTCCTCTCAGGTGAACTCTTTCAACCGTACCCGGTGGTCATACACACCGCTTGGGCCACAGCTTTTTTGGGTGCCTTTCTCTTGATTGAGGACGCCTGTGTTTAGGATTCTTTGGGCGGCATACCGCTTTGTTTTGCACATCTTCGACTACTGTTGGTGTGTCTTCTCCCAGACACCTTTCACCTTTCACCGATCATGTGCTACGTTGCTGTTCTTTTCCCAGCGAAGGCGCGCTAGTCGCACTACCTTTTGACCGTCACAAAGTCTCCAGAAGCCTTTTTAGTCCCTGAAATCCGGGCTGAGAGACAGCAGAGACACCTATATATAACTGGCAAAACCTGCGTTTCTCTCACCTTGCATCGCGTGGCCGCAGTAATATACAGAAGACTCTGAGCACCTTGGCCCAAGTCGAGAGCTACCTGGTCCAAGTGTATGTGCAAAGTTTTGGAGGGCGCCGATTGGCTGCGGGCTCCATCCAATTCTCTTATCTCATCCAGAAGCTCAGATGAAGTGGGGTTTGAGGAGGACGTCGGTGTTAGATTCGAAGTCTCCCAGAGTCGGGCATTGGGAGAAGTCGGCGTGCCTTTGGGACTTGAATCGTCGGAACGCCTTTTTGGAGGTCTGGGTTAGTGAAGGTCTGGCGCCGCCACAGCCAAAGTCCAAGAGGAAAATCCACCACTGTAAGGTCATGCAAAGTCGTGTTTCACCAACCGGGTTACCGACCGGTTCACCAACTAGGTCACCGCGCTCGGCGTTCCTTTGCGAAGCCCCCAGAAGGTCGCTTCTCATGACGAACGTCGAGCCGGGCCGACACTCCCCTTTTGCCGCGGTCAGACGGTAGGGTAACAAGGGGCAAAACACGCACTAGGAGTCAAGGCAAGAAAGCCGAGGGGCATGAGTTTTGGGATCAGTTGTTTTCCAGTGTTGCCCAAGTTCCTTATTTAAACATCTTTAAACCAATTTGTCACAGTTTGTTTGCCTTTCCTGGGCATTGATCCAACCATAGGCCTTGCCAGACTAAACAGGCTCATTCATCTTGTTCGCTGATCTGTCTCATTTTTGCGAGTCTTGCTTGGGTTCGAGAAGAACACATTTCAGAACCCCGACTGAGTCTGGGTGGCTCTCTTCATCTCAGGCTTTCAACAATCTCCCACTCCCAAAACGCCCCGTTGGACCTTCTAACACGGCCCGACCGTTGGACCGTTGGACGGTTGGTGGTCGGAAGCATCGATCCTGCTTCAAAGCCGGATCCGGACCGTTGGACCGGAGGGAACCGCTGGAGCGTTTTGGACACTGGATGGGGTCTCCATCTTCCAAAAGGTATCAACCATATGGCTGGTCAGAACAGACCACCTGCGGTGTCACAAGATCGAACCGAGCATCGATTTCGCTCAGGCAGGTGCCAGTTCAAGTAAATCCGATCACTGTCGTCGCCGAGAGTTCTCTGGTGCCGCTCCTAAACACCTCCTTGACCACGGCCTTGGCCGCCACCAATGTGAGTCTGACTGGCTCGGCTGTGAATGCTTCTGCGACAGTAACCGAAGAGGAGTACTGGGAACAGTCGAGTGGAGGTGGGTTGTATGGGGGTGGTGGTGGATATGGGGGTGGTGGATATGGTGGAGGCGGATACGGAGGAGGCGGATACGGAGGAGGCGGATACGGAGGCGGTTATGGAGATGATGGCTACGACGGAGACGATGGATACGATGATGGAGATGATGGATACGACGGAGACGGTGGATACGATGGATACGACGGAGACGACGATGGAGGCAACTATGGATACGGGGACGATGGATACGACGGAGACGATGGAGACGATGGATACGACGGAGACGATGGAGACGATGGATACGACGGAGACGATGGAGACGATGGATATGACGGAGATGATGGAGATGATGGAGACAACGATGGAGGCGACTATGGATATGGGGACGATGGAGACGATGGAGATGGTGATGATGGGGATTCAGGTGATGGAGGCAGTGGCGGCGGCGGAGGAGGTGGGAGTGGGTTGGAAAACCCGATCTGAGGAAGTTGAGACATTTAAGTTCACTATATCAGAGTTGAGCCGTTTGCAATGTGTAATTTGATATGAGGTGCGAGCACAGAACGGTCACCGTTGCTTTGCACATCGCCGAATGTTTGCTCTGCAAATCGACATGTTCTTTGTTGTCACAGGCCGTTGTGATCCGAACTCGCGCAGGTGGGGACAACACAACCAACGCAACCAGTGCTCTCCTGAAAGTAGAATGACACATGAATTTGAATGCGCTCTTGATACACTCTTGAGTTCTCAAAATAGACTCTTAGACATGGAACATCATGAAACATGATTCTTTTCAAGAGTTTCCGGCCCAGAGAGAATGGGACCTGGGAAGGCCAAGTCCAGGCTTTCCCCGGGCTGCACTTGCCGTTCAGAAGTTTTTGCGAGGTACAGAAACGACGACCAGCACATCCTTCACGACGACCTTGTGGCTTGGTTGATCCCACGACCAGAACGACAGATGATCAGGTTTTCTACATCAGTCCCACCACTTGGTCCCGACAGGGCCATGGTTCTTATGTTATGAACAGAATTGGTGCCTGGGGGTCAGATAGCCCGAACATGGAAACAGGTGGTGAAAGTGGGTGTCCATGGTGTCCATAGAACTTCGAATGTTCGGTAGACGTCGGCACTGTTACACCCACCAGTGGTAGTGCACCAGCCCCCAAATCAACCCACAAGAACGCTTGTCGGGAGTCTTAGCGAAGAGTGAAAGGAAGAGATTGGCCTAAGAAAAGATGTTTGTTGAAGGCTGTCGAACTAGAATTCTTCCCGAACTCTAGGAACATGGAAAGTGGTTTGATTTCATTTAGTATTTAGACAATCCTACATCCCAACCCCATTTCACGTGCTCCAAGTGTTCTTAGGAGGCGATGCATGCGACATTTCACCAACCGCCATGCCGAACTGGTTCCGTGTGGCACATCCATTCCACCGGTTTCCAGCCACGTCCTGGTTCACCCAGTGGGGGTCCGGTTCACTTGGTTCCTCCGTGGCTTTTCGCCGGTGGACCGATGCCGGGGGGGGCCAACGCAATGCCGTTCATCGGGAGGAAGACGTTTGGCAAGCGTTTGGCAAGCTCTAGGGGCTCTTGACCTCCAAAACCGGGGCTAGCGCAGCGAATCCGCGGTACGGACGCCAGGTGATGAGCCATGGGCCATGTTCTTGCTCGGCTGACCGGATCCAGGATGAAGAAGCTGTTCTGGAATTTTTGGCTGCAGATCAAAGCGACCTTGATACGAGGATCATTTTTCAATTGAGGTATGATTATATAAAGCGTCACACTGAGACTACGTTCCTGAATCATGAGAGAGACAGGTCAGTGGAGACGAAGACGGAGCGTCTGATGGTTACGAACACAGCCAACTCCTATCTCAGGCAGACATTTTGATACTCCCCCGCAGACGGGACTGGAACAACACTTGCTTGCACCCCATGCAGGGGCAACTCGTTGGATGCACTTCCCACTACATGAGGAACCTCATGATTCTGGCAGCTACTTTAGGGGACAGGATCAAAAAGAAAGCTCAAAATACTGCAGGAACATAGGGCATTGAAATCCTTCTTCCAATTGATTCTGATCTTAAGTCTGGAGCTCGCGGGAACGTGCCGGGGGCCTACATTCCAGTCTTTTTCTGGTTTGAGGTCACTGATATCTCATTCGAAAGGAAACAACCAACCAAATCTAGAATATACTGCAAAGTACTTTCAGTCCCCATGATCCACAACATGAAAGATTCCTGCCAAGCCCCTCGGGGTCTGGGGTTGGGATTCATCCACGTGGTCCGTGGATGAGTCCCCTCGAAACTGCGGTGGTTCCCATGGATTTTCCCATGGATTCTAGTATGACTGGCACCAGAACCCACAGAAAAATCGATTGAACACTTTGATCTGTACTTGTGGGCCCATGAAGAGCCGATTACGCGAGACTGAGAGTTGGTTCTGGGGGTGTATCTCCCGGTGCCTCGAAAAGGCGATTGCGCCAGCGCAGATCTTTAAAAGATTCTGCGAGAAAAGCACGATAACATCACTGGCCGATCACGAGATCTATGTGGATGGGGACAGGATGGGATAGGCTTTCCTCATATCATTCTGTGCTTCCGAAATGTAGGGGGACATCAACCAATCTGGGCTGAGGCTGTACCGAGTTAATACCGAGGCATAACTCACCGAGACTTGCTCTTTCGGCAAATATGTAACAGAAGTTGTTTTTGAAGGTACACAAAAGGCAGAAAACCAAGTGTGAGAGAAAAGGAGGACTTGATGTCCACATTGCCACCCATGTCTTTATGCTCGTGTTCACCCTGTTTCGGGACCGCCGGGATCTCGATCCAGAGCGACTGCTGGAGATCTCGGGTTTGCCGGGCACGGGACCCCAAGGAGTGGATCCACTGCAGGCTTTTGGGAAGGCGTCACGATTTCCTTTGGAAAAGGCCGGTGTTTCGTGCTCAAACAAAGTACCACGAGCTGTGCCCGTTTGCATGCTCCTGGCCAGCGTGACGGGGGGAGGAAGCTGGACAACCATTGAAGCTATAGCAGCTAAGGCCAGTGTGCTTTCAAGGCATTTCAAACAATGCTGAACTTTGCTATGTTGGTTTTTCTCGTTTGTTTGCATTTTGAGTCGTAGAAGCTGAAACGGAGTTTTCGAGGCAAAATATACATGTTCCGAAAGGATGAAAACGAGGGAGCCTCCATTTGTGCCTACGAATGGGCCCGTCCCGTCCCGTCCCGTCTCCAAGGCTTGACGGTACCCATGATGTCACATCACTAAAAAAGGACTATACAGTAAAGACCAGAAATCACCGAGAATTCACAGCTCCTTTTCCTGTTTTCTTTCTTTTCGACGTTTCTATTCATGTTTTTATGATACTTCTGCTTGTCTGCTTCACCGGGACGCTGGTGAGGTCTCCATTCCGATGGATCGGGTTCTGAGAGAACATCCGATGGATCGGTGATGAAGCAATACCGGACGGTAGATGTTAAGGGGGTGGTCAATACTGCATCGACACATCCCACAAGTCTAGAGTGGACACACCAAGAATCATACAGTGTTAGTTCCCCAAACAGTGTGGGCACACTGAGGGGTTCTTACGGTAGGTGAAAAGCAGGTTTGCTTAGATCGCTGTTCCGCGCGGCCGTGTCCGGCTAATTCGCTGCTATTACAGTACATTCATGCCTCTCAACATCATCAATGCGCATTTCGACTGCGCAGGCTCACAAAGTCTGGGTGGCCGCGGCGGATGCTTCTAGCGACTGCACTCTCGTTGTGGTGCCGCGTGCATTTTCGCACATGGCGGTGACTTTTCGTGGCAGGGGCAAGGGAAACCTCGTGTTTTGGTGCTCCAAAGTCGACTTTACGTGACAGGTGCAAGGGATCGGAGCTGTTTTACTACGAAATGCAGTTTTCGTGGCAGGCGCAGCACTTTGGACTTTGGTGGTGATCGTCGAGGAGCTCAGATTTTGTGACAGGTGCAGTGGATCGTGACTTTTGGACATGTGGGTCGTTTGCAGATTTCGTGGCAGGCACAGGACTTGGTGAACCTCGAAGTGCAGATTTCGTGGCAGGCACAGCACTTGGTGAACCTCGAAGTGCAGATTTCGTGGCAGGCGCAGCACTTGGTGAACCTCGGAGTGCAGATTTCGTGGCAGGCGCAGCACTGGGTGAACCTCGAAGCGACTTGGTGAACCTCGTGGCAGGCGCAGCACTTGGTGAGCCTCGAAGTGCAGAGTTCGTGGCAGGCACAGCGCTTGGAGAACCTCGACGTGCAAAGTTCGTGGCAGGCGCACTTGGTGAACCTCGACGTGGAGATTTCGTGGCAGGTACAGCGCTTTGTGAACCTCGAAGTGCAGATTTCGTGGCAGGCACAGCGCATGGTGAACCTCGAAGTGCAGATTTCGTGGCAGGTGCAGTACTTTGTGCTCTCAGATGCTCACTCTCTCCCTCTCACTATCCTACTTTCACTCACGCTCACACTCGCTCACACTCCCACTCTCACTCTCACTCACACTCGCACTCACTCTCCCGCTCTCACTCGCGCTCGTACTCACACTCACTCACTCTGACTCGCACTCACACTCACACGCGCACTCACTCACCCACACTCACTCTCACACTCACTCTCACTCACACGCACGCTCACTCACCCACACTCACTCTCACACTCACTGTCGTCACTGGTGGTTGCAGGCGGAAACGGGTGCCTGGGAGGTTCATCATCATCTTCTTCCTGCAAGGGCCCATCGGGTTCCAGTGTGTTGTTCATCTTCTTCTACATCATCCAGCTGTCGTTCACCCGTCTCAAGTCGTAGAATCGTGTGACTCCACGAGATTTCAGCTGTCTCACTTTGTTGAGGGCTGACTGCAGGTCTTCCAGCACATGCTGAGGGCCCAGGATGTCGGCACGGACATGGTGCGGTGCAGCACGCTCACTCACACTCACACTCACTCACCCTCACCCACACTGCCTCGCACCCTCACTCACACTCACTCACACTCACTCACACTCACACTCACTCACTCTCACTCTCACTCTCACTCTCACTCTCACTCTCACTCTCACTCCCACTCTCACTCTCACTCTCACTCTCACTCTCACTCTCACACTCACTCTCACTCTCACTCTCACTCTCACACTCACACTCACTCTCACTCTCACTCTCACTCTCACTCTCACCCTCACTCTCACTCTCACTCTCACTCTCACACTCACACTCACACTCACTCTCCCACTCTCACCCACACACACACTCCCTCTCACCCACACTCACTCACACCCACCTTCACTTCATCACCACCATCACCTCTCTGGACCCCAATGCGTCTAGATCTCTAGACTTTCTGCTTACAGACCTCACACGCACTGTTTGGGGTCTCTTGCCGGGATATTTTTTTTGCAGGAATCTTGGGTTGTTTGATGGATCCACAGCTACTTGGTCACATCTCGGAATGAGAGACTCCCGCCTCACACAAGGCCACTAGGGAAACTTCCAGTTTTCTTGATCAAGAGGATCGCAAGACCGCCGCGTGGGCTGTCGCTGAAAGAACACCGCTGCTGTTCAATTCATGGCCATGCTCGACCGACACCCTCCCGGGCCAGTGTCATCAAACCCAAAAAGGCGGTCCCACCACGGCACTTCTTGGTGGCTGGTCAGGGTTGTGGGAAGCACCTCGCGGACAAAGATACCTGGTGCTAGACTTGGTTTGCATCGTTCGTGCACAACAAGGCCGGCGTCGATTGCTGTCAGCTGAAGAGCAGCTCAGTGCACAGGCCAATGGCTTAGCAAAGGTATTTCAGATTCCATCATCTTCACTCAAACCCTAGGAACAAGCAACCTCTCCCTGAGGCCTTACAACTCACTTTCCACGTTTGAAGAGCAGGGGATTTGTTTCGATATGTTTGGTTCTTCATCTAAGTCTGAGTCTATTTACCCAACCACCACAACCAACCGACGACAGCTTCTTTTGGGCCCTCTTTTAGCCGCAGTCCTTTTTCATTCCTGATTCTCAGCAAGGCTCACGAACTGCCCGAAAGATCGGGAGGACAAACATCAACTCAACTGAAGCCAGCTGTCTCATGTGCCCATCATGGCAGAGACGACTGAGAAGACCAAGAAGCTGGAGAAGACCAAGGCAATGGGGCAACGGGACCGTCGGCCGCTGTTCTTTTTTGGGACATCCGCATCATTTCAGTCTATGGAGAGTCCATGGGAAGGGAGGAACTCTGAAGATTGCTGTTCTTTGGGGTGAGAGGTTCCTTCGGATGTGAAGCAGAAAACCAACCTTGTGAGGAAGGTTCATCAGAGGAGTTTATTTTTCTTTTTCTCTTTCTCTTTCTTTTTATTATTCTTCTTCTTCTTCCCTCCTGCTCTGCTGTTTCTTCAGGGTTCCCACGGTTTTACGAACCCTTATGGTCTACTTTTGAACCCAGCAAGAATTTACAGGCATCTGCCAACCCTGTTGTAAATTTGGTTGGATTGGGACAGACCGAAGCAATGTGCAGGTACCAGGGAGAAAGAAGCTTTCACTCAGAATGGCGTCCCATAGGTGTCTGCAGGGGCCTCATACACTGCTAATGAGACATGATGATTGTGCTTGTGGAGAAAGCAGCGTGGGACCGTAGGGACAGTGATGAGACATGCACCTTCGTTGCTTCGCTGCGGGCTCTTGACTCTTGCGAACGCCAGCTGTCGCTACATGTGCGATTCTTCACTACTCAGTAAAGACATGTCAAGATAATGCCTATGTCTATGCCTATGCCTTTGCCTGTCTACTGGGTGTTCCTTTCGAAGATGATGCAGCTGCTCTAACATGCTGGGATTTGGCAGCTCATGCCGGACCGTTTTTGGGCGACCCGTCGAGGGGTCTGTCCCCGTCGAGGGG